ATATATATTTTTTTTTTGGCTAAATCAATCTTACTTTTACATTGTTCTGTTTGGGTTTGATTAAGGGAACTGGGAAGAACAAGAAGAATGGGAATATTTTTGAGAGATGGAAGTAAGTTTTTTATGTAAAACAAAATTTCAGCAAAATAATAATAATAATAATAATAATAATAATAATAATAATAATAATAATAATAATAATTACGTATTAAATTATATATATATATATATATATATATATATATGTTTAAATATATAAATATGAAAAAAAATTCTAAATCATAGTATGTTATTAATATGTTCAGGTGCTTTGAGTGCCAAGGTTTCGGGCTGAAGAGCTGTCCGGTTTGTGGCAAAGGAGGATTGACACCCGAGCAACGAGGAGAAAGATGATGAAATAAATTAACATTTTCTATTAAAAAAATGTTTAATTTTATGGATATATCTTTTTTTTTTTTTATTTCATAAATATCATCATGAGAGCCTTAAATTGGAAAACTCTATAGTTAATTTGGTAGATAATTATGATCAAATCATGCTGCATTATGTTTTTACACAATTTTATTCACTAAGAATGAAATAAAAATAGTATTTTTACATTATTTTGTTTATAACCTACAAATTATTAATGTGTAAATTGTAATCAGTAATTAGTACAACATCCGTGTATTACACAGCTGCTTGCTAATTTTTTTCTTAAAATCTAAAATTGATGAGAAAAAGTGTTGAAAATTTAAACATTTTTAATAAGAATATATATATTATTATATATTTAGTATGACACTTTTTATTTGTGCGACTTAATTGTATTATATTAAAATAATATTTTTAGCTTAGAAGATATAAGTACATTAAATATAAATATATCAATTGAGAAATAATTTTATGTTTCTGCTGAATTTTAGTAACATTATTATTTATTATTATTATAAATATAAATATAGTTTATTTATTTCATATATACAATATAGATGTCAAATCATAGATCATCAAAAGATGATTAATTTGATATATTATATATGTAAAACCGATAAGAAATACAAAAGTTATCAACTTTTAACATACATTTACAATTCAATAGTTAATTGTAGGAAACAAATCAAAAGTCAGTGATATATTAGTCACTTAATGCCTCAATATGTAAAATTACAAGGAATTAAAAGGTTATATTAATACAAGTGATATTAAAATACCTAAGTTAGCTATTATATTTATGGAATGTCCGAACCTAGATTATTAATTATTAATATATCAATTTATTTGTCAAAACCTAATTACGAAATATGATTCTTCGCCAAGTAAGATTCTGAAGTACTAGAAGTAGTCACGTAGGCTCAGCGCATTCGATAATTATATACATGGGGTGATGATTGTTAATTTAGCCTAGTGCTGTTAACATCTTTCTATGTACCAAAAAAAGAAAGAAAAATTATGCCGATCCCTTTTAAAACGTCAAATCCCAATATTATTGTTTAGATACATAGCAAAATAGATAAATAAAAAAAGTCAAAACGACAAACATTTTAAAACGGAGAGAGTATAACTCACTCTCATTTTTACTTTCTCTCTCTTGTCTGCCGATCCCTTTTCCTCTCTCTCTCGCAAATACATCTCTTGTAAGCTATATCACAACATTCTTCCTCTGCAATTTCTTGTTTAAACAGGTAAATTCATTAAAATAATATATATATATA